CACACGGTGAATTGGCAGCCGCCCAGGGCCCAGGGCGCACCTGAACCCTCACCCGGGCCCTTAGTGCGCCCCCAGGGCCCTCCCAGGGCCCTCCCAGGGCACCCCAAGCGCACATCACGATGAATTGGCAGCCGCGCAGGGCCCAGAGCGCACCTGAACCCTCTCCAGGGCCCTCCCAGGGCCCTGGGCCTTCCAGGCGCACAACACGGTGAATTGGCAACCGCCCAGGGCCCAGGGCGCACCTGAACCCTCCCCAGGGCCCTCCCAGGGCCCTCCCAGTGCCCTCCCAGGGCACCCCAGGCGTACATCACTGTGAATTGGCAGCCGCCCAGGGCCCAGGGCGCACCTGAACCCCGCCCAGGGGCCTCGCAGGGCCCTCCCAGGGCACCCCAGGCGCACATCACGGTGAAGTGGCAGCCGCCCAGCGCACAGGGCGCACTTGAACCTTCCCCAAGGCCCTCCCGAGGCCCTCCCAGGGCCCTCCCAGGGCATCCCAGGCGCACATCACGGTGAATTGGCAGCCGCCCAGGCCCAGGGCGCTCCTGAGCCCTCCCCAAGGCCTTCCCAGGGCCCTCCCAGGGCACCCCAGGCGCACATCTCGGTGAATTTGCAGCCGCCCAGCGCCCAGAGCGCACCTCAACCCTCCCCAGGGCATTCCCAGGGCCCTCCCAGGGCCCTCCCAGGGCACCCCAGGCGCACATCACGGTGAATTGGCAGCCGCCCAGGGCCCAGGGCGCACCTGAACCCCCTTAGGGCCCTCCCAGGGCCCTCCCAGGACACCCCAGGCGCACATCACGGTGAATTGGCAGCCGCCAAGGGCACAGGGCGCACCTGAACCCTCCCCAAGGCCCTCCCAGGGCCCTCCCAGGGCACCCCAGGCGCACATCACGGTGAATTGGCAGCCGCCCAGGGCCCAGGGCGCACCTGAACCCTTCCCAGGGCCCTCCCAGGGCCCTCCCAGGGCCCCCCAGGCGCACATCACGGTGAATTGGCAGCCGCCCAGGGCCCAGGGCGCACCTGAACCCTTCCCAGGGCCCTCCCAGGGCCCTCCCAGGGCACCCCAGGCGCACATCACGGTGAATTGGCAGCCGCTAAGGGCCCAGCGCGCACCTGAACACTCCCCAGGGCCCCCCCAAGGCCCTCCCAGGGCACTCCAGGCGCACATCACGGTGAATTGGCAGCCGCCCAGAGCCCAGGGCGCACCTGAACCCTCTCCAGGGCCCTCCCAAGGCACCCCAGGCGCACATCACGGTGAATTGGCAGCCGCCCAGGGCCCAGGGCGCACCTGAACCCCCCCAGGGCCCTCCCAGGGCCCCCCAGGCGCACACCACGGTGAATTGGCAGCCGCCCAAGCCTTCCAAAGCATTTCTTCACTGTGAATCAGCTGCCGCCCAATACCCAGGGCGCTCCTGGGCGCGCCAGCTGTATTTCGTAGTTCCAGAGGAGCGGTATCGGCGGAGCGAGCGAAGCGAGCGGAGCCGGCGCCACAAGCGCACAATCAAACGCCCGCGCGGCGTTTCATCCCAAACCCTTTCCCCCGACGTAAAGCGTCAACCCAAAACCCAGGATTGCGCATATCTTAAAACTCAAGAGGGTAACTGTGCACGTGCGAAACACAAAGCATTCTTTGT